TGCAGATGTTCATTGAAATTAATTAAAAAAAAATGAATGAGACAAGAAAAAAAATCAGCTGACCATAAGTAGATGGGTTTATTTCTGGATTCTCAATTTTATTCCCTTGATCTATGTGTCTGCCATTGCAACAGTACCGTGCTGTCTTGACCACCACAGCAATGTAGTAGGATTTGAAATCAAGGAGTGAGATGCCTCCTGCTTTGTTTCTCTTTTTAAGGAGTGCTTTGCATATTTGGGGCCTCTTTCCATTCCAAATGAAACTGGAGGTTGCCTTTTCCAGCTCATTGAAGAATGGGATTGGTATTTGTATTGGGATTGCATTGAATGTGTAAATAGCCTTTGGTAGTATTGTCATTTTCACAATATTGAGTCTTCCTATTCATGAGCAAGGAATATTCTTCCATTTCTCCAGGTCTCTTTTAGTTTCTAGTAGTAATGTTTTATAATTTTCTTTTAATAGATCCTGTGATTCTGAATAGATTTATTCCTAAGTATTTAATCTTGTGATTAGCTATTATTGTGAAGGGTATTGTTTTCTTAGCTCCAGTTCTGTTTTTCCTTTGTCACTATAGAGAAATCCAATTGATTTTTGTATGTTGATCTTGTATCCTGCCACTTTTCTGAACTGGTCAACTATGTCCAGTAATTTTCTTGCTGAGTTTTTAGGGTTTTCTAGAGTATAATGTCATATCATCTGCATATAGAGATAATTTTACCTCCTCTTTGCCAATTTGGATACCTCTTATTTCCTTCTATTGTCTTATTGCTATTGCTAAGACTTCCAATACAATATTGAATAGGAGAGGTGATAGCGGGCATCTTTGAAAGGCATAGATTCTTATTCTGACATCTTTATTTATTGTCTAGCTTGATACAACAACATGGTCTATAAAGTTAGTGAATGGATGAGCATCCCTCTCAGGAGTGGTAAACGAGTTACTTAGCAACTGATGCTAAAATAAAAGGCAACTCAATGGCACATAACAACAACAACAATGACAACAACAACAACACCACACTATATTGGTTATTTTTTTTATTTAAGCCTCTTGTTTAGAGTCAACAAGACCTCAGGGAGGGCCTTTGCATTTAAGGTTGGTCTTTATTATATTTTGGAGGAACATTCTTCTTAATGTTACAGTACTCTCCTTTCAATATGCTGTATTGAGGAAACCTGAGTTTGTTGTGATGCTGAACCTTGTGCCATTGGGCTGTCAAATGGCATAACTATTACCCATGGTGAACAGTATTTGGTGGAACTACAAGTTTAAGACAGGTTTGGAAGAAGGAGCGGCATTCACTTCCTAAACAACATGCCTCTGGAACCCTATGGACTTAGATCAATGTCAATAGGCTTCAAGCCTTTTGTTCCTAGACTCGCTATGAGTTGTGCTTGACTCGATGGCAATCAACAAAAACAACAGCTTGATACATAGCAAGCAATTAGAAAATCATGGCCGAATCAGTACACCTTAGTCTCTTGATTGTTACCATTGTTCCTCAGCACTCTGGAGAGGTTCCTCACAGCAGACTTCCCCAGTGCAATTCATCTTTTGATTTCCTGACTGCTGGTGTCAAGAGTGTTGATTGTGGAACTGAGCAAGCTGAAGTTGTTAACAATCTCAATCTCTTCTCCATCTATCATGATGCTGCCAATTGGCCCAGTGGTGAGAAACTTTGTCTTCTTGATGTTGAGCTTCGATCCATATTGAAATCCACAGTCCTTGACCTGCAGCATACACCTCAGTTGCTAGTTATTATTAATGCATCTTAATTGTATGTTTATCACTTTGAGATGGCAAAAGTTGGTGGCAGTTGTTATGTGCTGTTGAGTAGAAAATGACTCATAACTGATCCCTCCAGTGGGTTTTGGCTGTGATTGTTAGGTACCATTGAGTTGAGTATAACTCATAGCGACCCAATGAACAACAGATCTGAACCCTGCTTTATCCTGTGCTATACTCACAATCTCTGACACACCCAAACCTGTTGCTTCAGTCACTGTGTCAGTCCACATTGTTGAGTATCTTCCTTTCTTTCTCGGTTTCTCCACCCTTCCGTGATGTCCCTCTCTAGGTAATAATAGCCTCTCCTATCAACATGCTCAAAGTATGTGAGGTGAAGCTTTATCATCCTTGCCTCTAAGGAGAACTCTGGCTGCACCTCTCCAAGACATCTCTGTTTTCTTGGTAGTTCATGGAACATTCAATACTCTTCTCCAATACCACAGTTCAAAGGCTTTAATTCTTCTTCTGTCATTTTTATTAATTATCCAGATCTCAGATGCATAGCAAGTGATAGAAAAGATCATCGCTTGAAACAGGCACTCCTTAGTCCTCAAACTGATTTTTTTTTCTCTTTTTTTCCTTTTTTTCTTTCTTCATCTTCTCTTTTTTTATATACATTTTTTTTAAATTTAGGTTGTTTATTTTTCATTTCAATGAACATCTACAGAGATTTTGGGATTCCATTCATTCATTGTTGCACCCTTCTCCCCGCACAAATCCCTCCCCCTCCCCCCCTTTGCTCCTCTCCTTGAAAAGCAAAAGAAAAACTCCCTCATTGGTACACAATCCCCCCCTGCACCTCCCCAAACCCCACCCCCTACCCCCAAATATAATCCACTCTGCAACCTCAAACTGATTTTATTGCTTCTCAATAATTCAAAGAGATCCCTGCCTGCAGACTTTCCCAGTGTAATGCATCTCCTGATCTTCTGACTACTGCTACTGATTACTGAGTACTGGTACTGGTATTGACTGTGGTTCCAAGTAAGATGAAGCCAGTGATAGTTTTTTCCTCTAAAAACCAGTGTCATTTTAGAGGCTGTCAATCACACAGGAGAAGATTGCTCATCTTTTTTCCTCAGAAGCTGGTGAATTTGATCTACCTCCCTTTGAGTTGGCAGCACAACTCCTTACCACAGGGCCATCAGAGCTCCCTGCAGAAGTTGGTAGAAATTCTCAAACTCATCATCTTTAGCAGTTGGTATGTACTTTGGAATAAGAGTCATATTCACCAGTCTTCCTTGTATGTATATGACTATCATTCTATCACTGACACCAACACACTTCAGAATAGATCTTGAAATGTTCTTTTGGACAATCAAAGAGACTCAATTCCTCTTTATTATTTTTGGCATAGGGATCATATAAATGATTAAAAATAGCTAAGACCTAAAAAACATGGCTAATATCAGTCCATCTTCGATCACTAATGCCTAGGATGTTGATCTTTGTGTATTCCATTTCATTTGTTAAAATTTCCAGTTTTTCTAACTTCACACTCAGTGCATTCCATGTTTTAATTATTAATGAATGTTTGCAAATGTTTCCCCTCATTTCGAGTCTTGCCACATCAGCAAATGAGGGTCTTCTTTGGGTGAAAGTATTACTCCATAATGCCGTTAATGCAGACTACTTTGAGGAAGCAGATTTTCTAAAGTCTTATTTTGAGTGCCTTACTGCTTGAAGCCCTCATCTTCTCGCACTGTATCAGACAATGTTCTATTCATATTCATGGAATTTTCGAGTGCTTATTATTTCAGAAATAAATATCAGTCCTGCTTCTTAGTCTTAGCCTGGAACTTCCATTCCACTGAAAATAATTAATCATTAATAATCCCGCTGGTATTTAAAATTCCAGTGAGACAGCTTCCAGCATCATAGTAACACACGAAGCACTTCTTTATGGAAAACTGACCGATCAGTGGTAAAGATTTACTTAAGTGTCCATATCTAAGTGTTTTGTGTCCTTCTGATGTGAATAGCATTCTTACTGGCTTAACGATAGAAATCTGTATCTAGTTTTTAAAGGGCCAGCCTGGGTCTTCAGCCAAGCAGTCACTGGTGCTTAAAAATACTGTCAAAGATTCATTATTTGCTCAGGACTGGTTTACTTTTTAATTGTAGACTATTACAATTGTGGAGGGTAAATCTTTTTAGTCATCAACTCTCTAGTGAGAGCCTCTTTTTTGTGAGCAGATCACTTTCTTTATGGGTTAAAAAAATTACCAAAACCCATTGCTATTGATGTGATTCTGATTCATGGTGACCCTACAGGACAAAGTAAAACTATTACATAGAGTTACAAAGGCTATGAATCTTTACATAACTAGACTACTAGAACAATAGTTCTCCCACATAGCAGCTAATAGGTTTGAAATGCCTTTTGATTAGTCACAACATGCTTTAATCACTGTACCAGTGTGAGTCCTTAAAGAAATAAGAAAACCCTTAGACATCAGAGGTAAGAGTAAAGGAAAAGAGATATAGAATTGGTGATGAGAACAGTACAATAAAGGATGCTACAGGATGACAGAAGAATAATCAATGCCTTTGAATTGTGGTGCTAGAGAAATATTGAACATGCCATGGACAAATGGAAAACAAATAGATCTGTCTTGGAGAGGGTTAGACCAAGTTTCTCCTTGGAGCTAGGATTTTGAAGTTTCATCTCACACACTTGGGGCATGTGGCCAGGAGGGACCCATCCTCAGAGAAATACATCATTCTCAGAAGGGTGGAGGGACAATGCAGGAGAGGAAGATCCTGGATGAGATGGATTGACACGGTAACTGGGGCAATGGGTGTTGGTCTGTCAAAATCAGTGAGACTGGCTCAGGATAGGGTAGGCTTCAGAGCTGCTGTACATAGGGTCGCTATGTGTTGCAGGGGATTTGTTGGCACATAACAATAACAACAGTGGCTAAAGTTTCTTTGATGATGCAGTTTTTGCTTAGCTACTAACTGAGAAGCTGGTGATTCAAATCTACCCAGAGGCACTGAAGATGAAAGACTTCGCAATCTAGACACATAAGATTATAGCTGTTGACAACTTTGTGCTGTTCTACTTTGAAACGTGAATTTGCTAGGAGGAAGAAGTTGGACCTGAAACTTGAACCTTCTTTGTCACTTTATGTAATGTTTGGGTGCCTTAGTGGTCTGTAATTTTGGGAAGAGTTGTATTGCTGCAGAATAAGTCTTCCTATCTTTCAGCATTCCAGTGCATTGAGGCCATGCAAGCCTGGCTCACTCAAGACCAGCTGGTGGTGGAGTGGCAAAGCTCTGCTCCAAAAGTGAACACATGGATTGTTGAGTGGGTTCCAGATCTGGACTCAGAACCCACTACCTTTTCCTGGGAACTTGTGTCACATGATAGGATCTGGACAGCCAAACAAGGTAACCAATGTGGAACTCTCAAGTTCCCTCTATTCAAATTTCATTCAAATTTATTGTCATCATCTTAAATCATTGACTTTCACTTAAAAAATATATGTAGTTAATAACATTTGATAAACTAGAGCAACAATTCCGGAAAGTGGCACATTTCCTGATATTCCCCAGCAAGGCAGGGACAGGAATTGTGAACACGTTTATTATTGTTGTTAGGAGCCATCGAGTTGAGTATGACTCATAGCTATTCTATGAAGAACAGATCCAAAGCCTGTTCTATGCTGTGCTATTCTCATACTTCCCAACATACAAGAGTGCACTGTGTCAGTCACTGTGTCCATCCACCTGGTTGAGGGTCTTCCTCTCCTTTACCAACCCTCCACTCTTTCAAACATCATGTCCCTCTCCAAGGAGTAGCCCCTTCTAGCCATGAGCCCAAAATATGTGAGGTGAAGCCTTATCAATTTTGCCTTCAAAGAGCACTTGAGCTGCATCCTCTCCTAGACATATATGTTTGTTCTCTTGGCCATCCATAGGATGTTCTGTGCTCTTCTCCAACACCACAACTCAAAGGCATCAATTCTTCTTCTGTCACCCTTATTTATTGTCCAGCTTTCAGATGCATAGCAAGTGATCATAAGGACTATAGGTATTTGGAATTTTAGGTATTTTTTGTTGTTTTGGTGTGCCTTTTATTTAGCCTGATGTATGAAGGAATCTATACATATATACTGTCTCTTCATTCAGGCCATAAACCAGGGTGAGGAAAAGCCATCAAGAGCAATGGCAGAGTTGGGGAATCTTCAGAGGAATGCCAGTACTGTTTGAGTTTAAGTAAGCTTTCCTTATCAACTAATAAATTCCAGAATCTCCAGTTAACCCAGGAAGGGACTCTCTGAGTGAGAAGACAGCTCAACAGAGGCCAAGGCCAGCCTAGAAAATCCTTTCCCTTCAAGTCTTCTCCCTCCAGGTATTACTGAGGCTCAGAGATTCCTTATTCTCTTTAATGGTAATGCTCCAACATGGACTCAAGTTTTTCCTTAGCTGGTTTAGCTTAGCTGATTCATGCAGAGATGCTGACCTGCTATATTAATGACATGTATTGAGTGTTGTCTTTGTGTGGGGCACCAGGGTCACTTCAATTTTCATAACAATTCTTAAGGTTAGAACTATTACCATCCCTATGTTACAGACAAAGAAGCTGAAGCTTAAAGAGGCTCTCACATAGGTCAGTGGGAAGATGTAAAATACAACTCAGACTTGTCTGATTGCAGATTCTGAGCAGCTCTTACCTGCTGTATTGAACACTGGGTTGCACTCCTCACTCTTGTTTCCATTGCAAAGCCTTTAGTGGCCACAGTTTAGTTTTTCTGTGAAGTGCATAATTGCACATCTGTGGCTAATCAGTAATTATTTGCTTACTTACAAACACATCTGCCTTCTTGTTTTGGTCTTGGTGCACGAATCTACGTTAATAAAATGAAATACTAGTGACAACTTACTTAATCTTCCCTCATCTGCATGATGTTGTTGTTGTT